TACAAGATCGAACGATGACGAAATCTACCATAATAATCAATCAACATTTGTAATATTATATGTAATATTTTAGTATGACGGTTTGATAAGTTGTTATATTACAAAATACATTTAGAATATAATTTTATTTTTAATCTATTCATATGTTTATTCTAAATCCATTTTAAATTTTAGAATCAATACTATAATAACACAAGTGCCTCTCGATGTGTTACTAAATTTGTGCCAAGAAGAGAAGTAGCAAAACCAATAAGAAAAATCACAAAACATATTTAACGATCAAACCAATATTTCATTAAAATGAAAGAGCTTAACCTTCGGATACAACAAAGCCACCAAAAGCTAAACAAGCCACAATCTCAATCAACATATTGATCAAGCAAATGATAAAACTAAAACGACAAATACTCATATACAGCGTTGGGGATAGAATTGAACTCGCAAGTTCAAGCAAAGTAGTAATCGAATCGAGACAAACAAAATCCTGATCGAAACCACTAAGAGAGGGAAACAACACCTACATGGTCGTTGAGGCCAAATAGATAACAACATCTATTGTTGAAGGAGACATGATTACGGCCTCACTTCTGCTCCAAGCAGAATCGCCTTCGACAATGTGCTCCCTATATCACTAATCACACGTGAATAAAATGGGAGGAAAACAAACTCCATACAGGAGAAGACAATAGCCAAACTAGCCCAAAGAACAGTTGGTGATCTACTATCCGAAAAATCTGCAGCAACTAGTACGTAAGAAGCAGCAAGAAGCTTGGCTACAGAGACTAAGCTTCATCTTGATAAGCATGGGAAAAATGAGGAAATCCTCAACCACGAGGAAGTCAGGAAATGCTAGAACGTCCACTGCAAACCAACTGAATCTGATACTAAAGATCCAAGATTGGTGTTGTTGAGCCCATCTCCTATCTCTCTGAAGTGTAATCCTGATTCATTAGATAAGAAAACAACCAGCACAATCGATTGCACACAACAAGATAGGAGGTTTCGAGTAACAACCTCATACTGAGGTAAAAGATCCTCATACTGAGGTAGTGGGATCTCATATTGAGGTAAAAGAAGGCTAAGTAAAAACCTAAACACTTCCCAATAAGGTAAGCGATGGCTCAAAAAAGGCTAACAAGCCTCATGTTGAGGTAATTGAAATGACTGCGCTCTTAAACTAGGGAATAAGAATCATAAATTAAGGTATTCAACCAAATTGGAGATATTCCAGGGGGTCTCAGGGTTCGTACCTGCTCGACGCGAGTCTAGGAGCAAGGCAGAGATACGAAGATTCATTTTTTTTATCAGAACAAATCACCTGGTCGACGAGACATAATTCGCAGTCAACGCTGGGAAGAAAAGAGCCGTTGAAGACAAACTCCGGTATTGTACATAATCTCCCAGCCCCCACGGAGGAGAGGAGGAGATTTAGATCCGAGGCGGCGGCAGATCCATAGAGATCACACCGATGATCAGAGCAGAGAGAAACGACGTCGCATCTGGCGGGTCAGGAGGTTTCGGTGGAAGAGGAGGCTCCAACGGGGTCAAAGTTGAGACCATTGAGCATGAAGAAAACCTCATCCGAGTCATGGAAGCAGTACGGTCGTGGAGATCTTCTTTCTCAAAATCAGCGTAAGCCTTAGCCCTTTGCGAGCTCAGGCCCAGAGGAGGAGAACGGTCGTTCATTGACAGAGACACCGCCGGAGAGAAGGAAGATGACTGGTGATTTGAAGAGCGTGGAGCCGGTGAAACATAAACGGTGGTTTGAGGAGTTAGAGTTGCTTTAGGGAGAGGGGGCTGGTGAGAAAACTTCAGAGGAGAAGGAGGTTGCGGAGGAGGAAGCTTCGAAGGGGGTCGCCTTTTCTTGGTCATCGGTGCAGAGCCGGCGACAGAGGCCAGGACCGACGCCGGCGATGAAAGATTAGGGTTGGCGTGGGACTCGAGGCAAATCGGCTATTTTAGAGAGAGAAACGGACCTATTCTAATAGACGTTCAATTTAATGGCAATTTGAGAATTGTTATTGGCAATTTTAGCACAAAGAAAACTTTTTTTTTAGATGATACTTTTTGCCCAAAAATAAGCAAGTGACTGATTTTCCGAAGCATCATTTCAACAAAATAACAAATGGTTGTTAACTGCAAATACATTCCCGAAAAAAAAAATGAAATTTGAAGTTTCACCTATACAAAACACATCACTCATCTATGTCATAAGCAAAACCAAAACACCAAAAGAAAAATGAAATCACACTAATATTAAAAAGAAGATTAATTTTTCACAAAACAATGGTAACTCCTCTAGCACCATGAACATAAGAAGGATGAGCAGCTTCTTGATCTCTCTCAAACTGTTGCAACTGCGTGGCATGTCTCGTGGCATCGAACTTCTCTCCATCTCCCCAAAGAGCATAAGCTTCTTCCCCGTGAGCCGCGTCATCACCAATCCCAAGCTCTTCCTCAGCCATTCTCAATGGTATAAACATCTTGATAGCAAGAAGTATGAGAGTGGTCGAAATCACATTCCAACCAGCAACGAAAGCAGCTCCGGCCAACTGTTTCAATAGCTGTTTGCCGCCATTACCGCCATAGAAAGCTCCATTGGTGTTTGGGACAGGAAGTGTCAAGACGCAAAGATCAGGATGTGCAAACAAACCTGTCATTATTCCACCTAGTAATCCTGCCACCGCGTGCGTGTAGAATACCGCTAATGTATCATCTACCTGTTTAATTATTTTTTGAACCTTATTATACTGACAAATAATTTTGTAACATTTTATACATCTACAATATCATATATCTAGTTAATTATTTTTGAAACTTATCATCATACTGACAAATAATTTATATTTCCAAATATTGTATGCTCATAAAACTTAAAAAAATATATATATAATTTACCTTTTGAAGGAGAGCGGATTTCTTGTGAMGGATCATCATAGAGGCCCATGGAACTGATCCGGAGAATATGCCAACTATTATAGCTGCCCATGTTTGGATCAATCCTACAATAATACATTTCGTTTTTTAGTACTATAATATATTAATTTGATTAGTAAGTAACCTTTTACCGTTGCCATAGTACTATAATATATAATACATTTGTGTTTTGTGTCGCCAATCGGATTATCTCATATATTTTTATTATAGTCAATAATAAACCGGATAAAATTGAGACCTGCTCCGGGAGTGACGCCGGCGAGACCCGTAACCATGCCTTGAATGGCTCCGATGACGGAAGGTTTACCAAAGAAGATGACATCGAGTGAGGTCCACACGAGGAGGCTTGTGGCCGCAGAAAGGTTGGTGTTAAGCACCGCGATTGAGGAGGTTAAGTTGGCGGCGTAAGGAGCTCCGCCGTTAAAACCGGACCAACCCATCCATAGAAGACCAGCTCCGGCAAGCATTAGAAGAACATTGTTAGGTGGGAATCTCTCTCTGTCCGCCAGTGGTCTAGGTCCCACCTACAATAAATGTCAAACAAATCCGCTTTTAATTTAACTTATACAATCAAATAATCAACTTCGTACGACTCTTTCCTCAACTAGCCGCCACTAGTGTTAATTTTCAAAAAAAAAAACTAGCTACTAGTGTTTGCTTTTTAACTAACCATTTTTTTTCTTTAATCTTTCTTTGCATAATTATACTTTTTTATTGGGTAGATTGTAGAATCTTATGTCGTCGTCATGTGGAATTGACTTGACTTCTAACATTTTTGCTTATGTGAGACAAAATGCAGAATACACGGAAACAATATAATTTTTAGTTCATAAAAAAAAATGTAAAGTCTCTTACACGAAATGGATTTTATATAATTTATCTATGACTTGCAAAAACTTTATTTATGTTATAGTGGACCGATCGATCATTAAACTTAAGTGTTAAGACCTTGATTACGTAATCAATCATATGAAAAAGAGAAGGCAAAACAAAACTTGGCGATTGATGAGGACCAGTCTACATCGAAATATACTTAGAAATGTTCCGAGTCTATGACCATGTCATCATCATCTACCGTACATTAATTAAATCCAATATTTTCAACAAACATTAATATAAAAAATATCTTTCTTTTGATAATTTTTTTTTTATAAAAAAGTCTTTTATTCTTCGATGTTTGTCATTTTTTTAACCATTATTTATTATTTATAGTAATAAAAACAAATAATCAGCCTGAGAATTTATTTCTAAATGATTTGCTCCAACTAAATAAACTAACCCTCAAATCTTCTAACGAATACTTAGTTGAAAAACAAAACAAAAAAAAATCCTCTAACAAAATGTAAATTTTGGATGATCCTGATAAAAATTTACAACTCAGAATTAAATTAGAATTCGGTTTTGTAAAATTCAGATTAATATAATTCGTGGAAAAAAAAAGTAAAATAATTGGAGAGATTTGAGATTGGAATGAACAGGTTTAGGCCGGAGGAATTGTTGCAGGAAAGACGGATTTGAGAAAATACTCAAATCCGTCTTGTCACCGCACCAATTCCGTCCCGCACATCTCCATTCAGAGTCTAAAGAAAGAAAACATACCCAATAAGCGGCGACAAAACCCGCAACTCCGGAGGAGAGATGAATAACATAACCGCCGGAATAATCAATGACACCCCAATGATACAAGAACCCTCCACCCCATAGACTATAAGCTCCAACAGTGTAGCTAAAGATCAACCACAATGGCACAAAAGCCATCCACGCTTTAATATTCATCCTCCCCAACACTGATCCGGCAACAAGTACCAGCGTTATCGCCGCAAACGTGAACTGAAAATACACCAAAGTCGCCATCGGAAAAAACGGCTCCGTGATGCTTTCCAACGTCCCGTTCCTAAAATACCTCGCGCTTTCCGGGATCTGTAAAAGAACAAACCAAAAGAGTCAAAAAATGAGAGAGATTTAAAT